CAAAAACTCAGTAAATAGACTCCTAAAATAATCAGGGTCTAATACAAGATAACTCTGAATAAGAATGATGGCAACGAAAATTAAGAAGGAGAGATGAACAGATATGAGACATTATGAAAGAATCTACATAGTTTGGTAACTTACTGGACATAGATATGGAGGGCAAGATAAAACAGCCAAAGATGACTAAAAAGTTTCAATCCTGAGGGATTAGGGGAATGAGGGTCCCAATGATCAAAATCAAAAGTCAAAAGGAAGAGCTAGTTTTGAAAGGAAAAAAATGGTTTGTATTCACATAGGTTTCATTTGGGTACCAATGGGAAAACCACCACCTTGTCTGGAGAGGGAGATAATGTAGTGAACCTTACGTGTATTGAACATGGGAAAAGCTGGCATTAAGATTTACATTGATAAGGACTTTTGGGTATTTACTGGGACCCATTCTTTATTTTCTTCTGCAACATCCTTCCTTTCCTTCTCTACTTCACAAATACCTGTTATTATCACTATTATGTCTCTTGAATTTCATCGTGAAAGAAACAAACAGGGCCGGGCGCGGTGGCTCAAGCCTGTAATCCCAGCACTTTGGGAGGCCGAGACGGGCGGATCACGAGGTCAGGAGATCGAGACCATCCTGGCTAACACGGTGAAACCCCGTCTCTACTAAAAAATACAAAAAACTAGCCGGGCGCGGTGGCGGGCGCCTGTAGTCCCAGCTACTTGGGAGGCTGAGGCAGGAGAATGGCGTGAACCCGGGAGGCGGAGCTTGCAGTGAGCTGAGATCCGGCCACTGCACTCCAGCCTGGGCGGCAGAGCGAGACTCCGTCTCAAAAAAAAAAAAAAAAAGAAACAAACAGGATAGGGGCTAAAACTTGCCTAAGACAGAGAGTTCAAGAGCACTTAGAAATCAGTTGGAGGCCAGGCATGGTGGCTCAAGCCTGTATCTCAGCACTTTGGGAGGCTGAGTTGGGAGGATTACCTGAGGCCAGGAGTTTGAAACCAGCCTGGTCAACACAGCAAGACCCTGTCTCTACAAAAGGAAAACTTTCAAAATTAGCCAGTTGTGGTGGCACAGGCCTGTTGCTGCGGCTTTCTGGGGAGGCTGAGACAGAAGGTTGCCTTGAGCCCAGAAGTTCAAGACTACAGTGAGCCACTTTCCCACCACTGCACTCCAGCCAGGGAGACAGAGGGAGACCCTGTCTCACAAAAAGAAAAGGAAATCAGCTGGGGTCAGGGATGGGTGTGGGTTGGGACAGCAACTCTGATCACTCACCATTCCAAGGTGGAGGCTTCCAGTGGGCTGTTTCTTTGCTTGGGTACATAACAGCTCCCCCAAACTGCTGTGCCCATTCCACATCTGGCTGCCACTGCCGAACACCTCTGGGGAGTTAAAGACAAATCCTAGACAAAGGGCCTGAACAGTGTGTGGTTCCTGTGTTCCCATTTACTCTCAAGGGGACCCAGGAAGGATGTCCTGTTTTTTTGTTTTGTTTTGTTTTTGAGACGGAGTTTCGCTCTTGTTGCCCAGACTGGAGTGCAATGGCGCGATTTCGGCTCACTGAAACCTCCGCCTCTCGAGTTCAAGCGATTCTCCTGCCTCAGGAGGCGATTCTCCTGCCTCAGCCTCTCAAGTAGCTGAGATTACAGGCATGTGCCACCAAGCCCGGCCAATTTTGTATTTTTAGTAGAGATGGGGTTTCTCCATGTTGGTCAGGATGGTCTCGAACTCCCGACCTCAGATGATCTGCCCGCCTAGGCCTCCCAAAGTGCTGGGATTACTGGCGTGAGCCACCGCGCCCGGCCAGTGTCCTGGATTTTTTAAATGCCAAGTCACTGATCTGAAGTTAATGTAGCTTCGGCAAAATAAGCTGGAACTCTAAAGGTTCAATTCCTACTAACAAATTATTCCTGGAATAACTTCACCCATCACCCCTGGGCATGCAAGGTTGGAATCCTGGCTTCTTTATATTTTCATCATATTGATATTATCAACCAGGTGAACATGAACGTGAGAAAAGTGTTTATTCAAGGTCAACGACAGAGACAGCGCGCATTCTGGCTCTGGCTGAGTTTTACTCAGGTACAGGAGAGGTGCATTCAAATTACGGAAGCTAAAAAGCAGGGTCTCCCACTCCGCTGATTTCACCTCTGGACTGAACGAACTCTAGACCCTCTCCCCTCCCTCGCCAGAGTGGGCGCCACCGCATCTTGTAGCCCAAGAAGTCAGGGATGGACAATGGGGTCACAGTCTTGGGTTATTCTTTTCTGGGGGAGTAAAGCGTCCCCAACCTGAGAAACCCTTGGAGAACGTGTGTCGAGGGCTGCCCTCGATCTCACCTGCTGGGCTGAATCGGCAGTCGGACTCCAGCCCCAGGCCGCAGGACCTGGGCCGCGACGCCCCGGAGGCCGCACACAGCCCTCAGCGCCGCCATCTTACTCCGGCTGCAGACTGCGGGAAGGTGAACCGGGCGGAAGTGACTCCAGCGCGCCTCCTTGTTGGCTTCTCACCTATTCGCACAGTGAAGCCGCCCTTTTGGAAGCTGGCAGGGTCGTTTACCGTCGACCTGACAACATCCGGGTCCTGTGACTCGGCTTCACTTGCGTTTAGATAACGGTGACAGCCATCATCTTTACTGAGGGCGGTTCCTCCCACAGCTCCTGGCTGGCTTTTCTAGGAGCGAGCAAGGGAAAATTGCCGTTCCTGCGAGGGGCAAATACTTCGTGCTCTCTCGCCGAGCCCGCTTGCGCATCTCGGAAACGTGCGGCGCTTCTTTCCCTACTCCCTTCCGCCTTGGCCGCCCTCCCGCTTTAGTCCTGCTCTCGGATTGTATCTGAGCCCTGCCCTTATAGGGTAGCCCAAGGCTTTGCCAATTACCTTCCCATCACTGAATCCAAAAGATCGGAGTCGGGAAAGCCAGCTAATTTCCAGATGTCCTAAATTGCGATTGGAGAAAGGAGCCTAAGTGGGGCTGGGCGGGTCTGAGAGCTCCCGCCAAACCAAAACAAAAAAGAATAGGATTGCCAAGGCCACCGGCATTGGTGGTGCGGAGGGGAGTATCGGGGTGTGTAGGAGCCACCTCATCCCACATGGGGGAATGGAGTCCTCTGGGTGACCCTGACATCCGCCAGGCTTCCCGAACCTACAGAATCATAGACCCAGGAAGCGCCCTTAGAGATGCCTCACACCCCACTTCCGTCCTGCGTCAGCCACTTTTCCCTAACGTCTTTCTGACCCTGCTATAGCCCTCCTGGGTAATGGCCAACAGCATGGAAATGTCGTAGCACCAGGAGTGTGATCCCAATTCTGTATGGACAAAGACTTTTCCAGCCTTAGAGGCTAGTTCCTGTTTTCTCCCTCTGCCTCTAAGCCCAACTCCAGCTGGGCCACCCACCCGTAGAGTCTGTACAACTCTCCAACTCTGAGCCTGGAAAGACGCCTTCCCCAGATATCCCCTAGACAGGATCCCTGGGACACAGCCCACCAGCAGCGCAGCAGGGTGAGGCAGACAGACCAGGAAGCAGAGACGGAGGAATTCTTCACTGCAGAGAAAGAGGGGAAAGCCAGACTTCTGGCCTGGGAATTGACCTAATGGGAACTGTACCAAAGGGTGGGGCCAGATCCTTGGCTGTGGGAACTGACCAGGACCTGGGCTAGACAAGGGAGCTGCCACAGAGCCAGGGCAGAGGTTTGGTCCCTCTGCTCTCCTCATTCCTTGATCTTCCCCTGGGTCTTCTTTCTGTCTATTGTTGAAACACAGCAAATGTGGCCATGGTGGTGGGGGATGGGAAGGATTGCATTTATTTGCCTTGATCCAGCCTGGGAGAAGTCAGGATAGACTCGGTTGCTTGGCCCTGGGGGCAGCTTGAGCTGGGACTGGCGTGGGGGCTCCTGAGGGGCTGCCTAGGACACTGCAGCTTTTGTGCCTTCTCCCGGCTGCCAACACCCCCACACACACGGCTGCAGCCACTCTAAAGCCCTTTGTCTTTCACTGCTTAGTCACCCCCTTTGTCTTCATCTCAAATAGGGGAGTGGAAAGGGGCAGTAGAGTTCTCTGGTGATAGCTCCTCTTGCCCCTGCCCCTTCTGGTCTCCCATCCCTCGTCTGACTCCTCTAGTCCTGGCCCCCTTGGCTTAGAACCAGGGTCAGGCAAGTGGTGGGTCAAGTGGTGGGTCTGGCAGTCACAAGGGGGTGGGTGATCCAGGAAGTGACAGGCACCAGGGCAGGTATTACCGACCTGAGCAGGAAGGGAGGGGGAAAGGAAGTATTCTGACGGATATGATATGCGGGGGACAGGAGGTGACAAAGCAGAGTTAATAGGGGAATAGAGGCAGTAGGAGGTGGTCCACTTCTGGGAAAGGAAAGGGACTGCTGACTGCACTCTCCTTCCTGGGGATTTCCTGGGGAAACAAGCAGCCAGAGGATGGGGTGAGCAGAAATTGCCCCTACTTCTGAACCCTTCCTTGCCTTGAGAGTTCACACCCAAGACCTCTTTTGCGAGTTCCCTCCTATCCAAAGTCAAAGGAATAATTTGCTTCCTTCCCTAACACCACCTCTTCCTCCCCAGCCACTCTCCCACCCCAGGCAATGGATTTCTCCCAGTACCCTAATTTCCCTATAAGCACAATGCTGCCTCCACCCTCTCCCTGCCACAGGGAGAATTAAAAAGAAAAGATTACTAGATATTCCAGGAACCAATGGGTTCTCAGAGCAAGGTGGGGTGGGTGGTGGGAGCCAGGTGGGGATTCCCCCAGACTGATACTGGATGAATCTGGGTTCCTGAGAGCAAGTCTTGCCTATGCTGGGGGCTGGCTGACTTGAGGCTGGGGGAGGGTTTAGGGCAGTTGGGAGTGGGTAGGAGAAGGGCCAAAAGCCTGGGGGAAGCTACTGGGAGCTGGGCCAGGGAAATGGGGAGTCAGGAAGTGGGGAGGGGGAACCCTGGGGGGAAACGGAGGCGGAATGGATGTTCTGGGCTTTGGAGGGGGTGGGTAGTGGTAACTCAGGAAGGGGGATCCTGAGGGAGAGAAGGGACGTTAGAAAAGAGGAGGTGCCACCCTAGATCAGCGTATAAAAGGAAAAGTCGTTAACCCCTCCTGCCTTGTCATCTGCCGCCTCCAGTACGTTCATTCCAAGCAGGATCATCCTACCTTTGGGCAGTCAACTCCCTGATCACTTGTCTCCTTGCCTCCCCCATTGCTCTGCCTCTTTTACTCTTCCCAGTTGCTCAGTTCTATCCTGAGCCATGTCAAGTTACCTCCTTTCTTTGTTCTTCCCTCTTGATGTCTCCTTACCTGTTCCCTACCCTCTTTTCTCAGGCAGTTCACTCAGTCCCCGCAGCCCTGGAAACCAGCCACTAGGGCCAAAGGGCAGCATGAGGGAGCCTTGAGAAAAGAGAGGCCATGCTAGGTTAGACTATAAGAGCAGAAATTCTCCCAGGACCGTGATCCTATCTGTGCATGCTGGCCAGGCCCTTTCCCTCACTCTCTGCGTCTCCTGGGGCTCTGTCCCACCAAAAAGGGAAAGAGACAGCTGAGGGCTGATTGTGGAGTTTGGGAAAAGGCTATGTCATCAGCTGGCCCAGTGCCTATTATCCATTCGACTGCTAGAGATTCCCCTCCCCTGGGCAAGTCCCATTTTTTTGGGAAGCGATGATACACCCATCTGAGTCCCACCGACAGAGCTCAGCTGAGTGGCTTAGAGATCAGCCAATCAATCGCAGAGGCTCACCATGCTTAAAAGAGCTGGCGCGGAGAGAGGCTGGGGAGAACCCACAGGGAGACCCACAGACACATAGGCACGAGAGAGACAGAGGAGGAAAGAGAGACAAAGGCACAGCGGAAGAAGGCAGAGACAGGGCAGGCACAGAGCGGCCCAGACAGAGTCCTCCTACAGAGGGAGAGGCCAGAGAAGCTGCAGAAGACACAGGCAGGGAAAGACAAAGATTCAGGAAAGGAGGGCTCAGGAGGAGAGTTTGGAGAAGCCAGACCCCTGGGCGCCTCTCCCAAGCCCAAGGACTAAGTTTTCTCCATTTCCTTTAAAGGTCCCCAGCCCTTCTGAAAACTGCCTCTGACCTTGGCAGGAGTCCAAGCCCCCAGGCTAACAGAGAGGAGCTTTCCAAAGCTAGGGTGTGGAGGACTTGGTGCCCCAGACGGCCTCAGTCCTTCCCAGCTCCAGTACCAGTGCCATGTCCCAGACAGGCGCGCATCCCGGGAGGGGCTTGGCGGGGCGCTGGCTGTGGGGAGCCCAACCCTGCCTCCTGCTCCCCATTGTGCCGCTCTCCTGGCTGGTGTGGCTGCTTCTGCTACTGCTGGCCTCTCTCCTGCCCTCGGCCTGGCTGGCCAGCCCCCTCCCCCGGGAGGAGGAGATCGTGTTTCCAGAGAAGCTCAACGGCAGCGTCCTGCCTGGCTCCGGCGCCCCTGCCAGGCTGTTGTGCCGCTTGCAGGCCTTTGGGGAGACGCTGCTACTAGAGCTGGAGCAGGACTCCGGCGTGCAGGTCGAGGGGCTGACAGTGCAGTACCTGGGCCAGGCGCCTGAGCTGCTGGGTGGAGCAGAGCCTGGCACCTACCTGACTGGCACCATCAATGGAGATCCGGAGTCGGTGGCATCTCTGCACTGGGATGGGGGAGCCCTGTTAGGGGTGTTACAGTATCGGGGGGCTGAACTCCACCTCCAGCCCCTGGAGGGAGGCACCCCTAACTCCGCTGGGGGACCTGGGGCTCACATCCTACGCCGGAAGAGTCCTGCCAGCGGCCAAGGTCCCATGTGCAACGTCAAGGCTCCTCCTGGAAGCCCCAGCCCCAGACCCCGAAGAGCCAAGGTAGGCAGCCCTGGAGTCTGTGTCCTGCGGTGTCCTCCCGCCATGTCTGTCCTACTGACCCCTATTCACCCTCTCTCCACCCACTTCCACTTCTGGCCATTCTGCTTCCCTCCCTTCTGCCTGCCTTTCCTCTTTCCATGAGCCTCCTTTCTTGGTAAGGCTCAGGCCTCTCCCCTTCACCCTTCTCCTAGCCAGACCCACCGAGGGTTCTCAGAGGTGGGTCAGAGACTCTGGGCTGGGAATAACTGCTCCCCCTCCCCACCCCACCCCTTCCTGGCTATGGCATCTCCTACTGGCACAGTCCCCAGCAGTAAAGGTCTCCTAACAGCGCCTTGGCCTTGGCTCTTTTCTCTGCCCCAAATTTGATTTTCATCCCTCACCCCCAGCTAAAGGAGTGAGATTTGAGGCCCTAGGGCTTGGTGTCTGGCTTCTGATGCTGCCTTTAAAATCACTGTGGCAAACTGCAAACTAGGGCAGGAGTGGCGAGAGAGGGAGGGTATCCCATACCTCCTTCTGGTCAATCCCCTTCCCACACTGTGGCCGGACTGCGAGGCTGCCTGAAGCTCCATCCTTTCCTCCCTCCCACTCCTGGTCTCCCGCTTCTTCCCTTCCCTCCTCCCTCCTCCCTCTCTAGCTTTAATCCAGACCAGACGTTCCCTCCACACCCGCCACGCTGAGCTCTGGCCCTGGCCCTAGCTGCTGACTGAATCGTTCCTCCAACCACACAGGGCAGACACGTTGCAGCCCAGCCCTCTAGCCCTGGTCCCATAGGTCCCAGCCACACTCAGGCCTGGAGAACCCCAAAGTGCCTCTTGACGGCAGTCCAGGCGGCTCTCACCTCTGGGGCTCCCGCAGCCCTGGGATGTGGCGTCCCCTTCTCCTCCCCTTCTTAGAACCAGCTGCTGACTCCTCAGAGTTACCAGAAAAGCCCTGGGATTTGGTGTTGGGGGAAGGGCCCAACCAAGACCCGCCAGGAGTCAGGAATCCCGGGGTGGGGGTGGCGGGGAGGTGGGGGGCGGGCAGCTGACTATGCTGAGTTCAAGACCCAGGAAGTGAGGGATTGCAGAATCGACCAACCCATGGGTCTGAGAGGCTATTTCAGGTTCTTCCTCTCCCTTTTTCTCTCCAGCGCTTTGCTTCACTGAGTAGATTCGTGGAGACGCTGGTGGTAGCAGATGACAAGATGGCCGCATTCCACGGTGCGGGGCTAAAGCGCTACCTGCTAACAGTGATGGCAGCAGCGGCCAAGGCCTTCAAGCACCCAAGCATCCGCAATCCTGTCAGCTTGGTGGTGACTCGGCTAGTGATCCTGGGGTCAGGCGAGGAGGGGCCCCAAGTGGGGCCCAGTGCTGCCCAGACCCTGCGCAGCTTCTGTGCCTGGCAGCGGGGCCTCAACACCCCTGAGGACTCGGACCCTGACCACTTTGACACAGCCATTCTGTTTACCCGTCAGGTGAGGCCCCAGTCAGCACCGCAGGCCATGCACTGCACAATTCTAAGAAGCACCACTACATAGACTATGATGCAAATGATATTCCTGGAGTTGTGTGACATGGTGCCTTGCCCCAGCCACACTGCCATGTGTGGCTACCTAGGCCCTGACAGTGCTGGGTCCTCAGTGCCCAGGTCCCTAGGAATCTAGATCTCAACCCAATGGACCCAGGTGTCTTGGCTGTCTATGCACCTTCTATGATCCCTCTCCACAGGACCTGTGTGGAGTCTCCACTTGCGACACACTGGGTATGGCTGATGTGGGCACCGTGTGTGACCCGGCTCGGAGCTGTGCTATCGTGGAGGATGATGGGCTCCAGTCGGCCTTCACTGCAGCTCATGAACTGGGTAAAGTGGGGGTGGATGAGAAAGGTATTAGGGAGGAGAAGGTGGGGGAGGGGGTACTAAGTTCACCACAGTGTTAATGGGGGCCCCAAGGTATTCTTCCCCTAGGCCTAGGTATAGGGCTATTACTCCTCTCTGCTCCAGGTGTAGACATACATTTACATTTTTCTATTAAATTAGTTGGTAGAAACTACTGTGATCTCTCTCTCTCTCTCTTTCTCTGTGTGTGTGTGTGTGTGTGTATTTGGAGGGGAAGTCAGAAAGGGAATGGGTGAGGTCACAGTTGGGAATGTTGGCTATAAGGAAAAATGGATAGGGAGGGGCCCAGAGTATATTTTGGGGAAGAGGAGACAGAGAAAGAGATGGGGCTACATACTGGGAGCCCTGAGAGTACCAGAAAGAAAGGGACTGGGGGCAGGGTGAGTGGGGAATGGATCTGATCATCCACAGCTGCAGCCAGATTTATGATGGAGTCCCTCAGGGCATGAGGAAGGGACCCTCAGATCCTATCAGGGCCTCTGCTCCCACAGGTCATGTCTTCAACATGCTCCATGACAATTCCAAGCCATGCATCAGTTTGAATGGGCCTTTGAGCACCTCTCGCCATGTCATGGCCCCTGTGATGGCTCATGTGGATCCTGAGGAGCCCTGGTCCCCCTGCAGTGCCCGCTTCATCACTGACTTCCTGGACAATGGCTATGGTAAGCAGATGGCACTTACCTTTCCCTGGGTAGGACTCAATTCCTGTCCTCCAGGGCACTCTCACCTCTGCTGCATCCTGCATGGGCCAAATTGCCTCCCCCAAGTGTGCTTCCTCTGCAGTGTGGGAAGGGGTGAGAAATGCTGCTGTCTTTGTGTAGTTCTCACTTCCTCCCAGAATAAATAGCATAGCTAGAGGAGGTGAATTTTGGCTCAGTAGAATTAGAACGGACCTTCTGAGGGCCAGAACTGTCCACCACTGGAATGGGCTGGCTGTGAAGGATGTGATTACCTTGTCACGCAGTGAGGTATGCAAGAATAGCAGGATGACTGCCACTAGGCAGAGATGTTGATGAGAAGCAAACTCAAGTATTCTATAGTTGGTTAGAATAGGCAGAACTGAGTTCCTGTCATTATTCCATTTTGTTTGTTTGTTTTTAAAATAGAGATGAGGTCTCACTGTGTTGCCTGGGCTGGTCTCGAACTCTTAGGCTCAAGCAATCCTCCCACCTCAGCCTTCCAAAGTGCTGCGATTACAGGCATTGAGCAACCATGCCTGGCCTCTTATTCTGTTCTTTAAGCAGGTGTAGATGTGTGACTGTAAGTTACTTCACCTCTCTGTGTTTGTAGTTGATATGTCAGATAAGTATAATAGTGGTACCTATCTCATAGGTATTTGCCATGGTTAAATACATGCTGCTTAAGCATTTAGCCAATGTTCATCACATAATAAGCATCCAATAAATTATAGTTGCCCATTAAAGCCTCTTACAGGGCTAGGCACAGTGGCTTACACCTGTAATCCCAATGCTTTGGGAGGCTGAGGTGGGAGGATTGCTTGAGACCAGGAGTTTGAGATTAGCCTAGACAACATAGCAAGACCTTATGGCAACAAAAAATTCCAAAAAATTAGCTGGACATGGCACATGCCTGTAATCCCAGCTACTTAGGAGCCCAAGGCAGGAAGTTTGCTTGAGCCCAGAAGTTTGAGGCTGTAGTGAGCCATGATCATGCCACTGTACTGCAGCCTGAGTGACAGAGCAAGACTCTGTCTCTGAAAAAAAAAAAAAAAAAAAAAGTAAGTAATTAAAATATAAATTATAAATTAAAAAAATTTTTAATTCTCTTATAGTCCTAGGATTGTTTTTATAGGCTCCATCAGGCCCCAGGGAGCCTAAGCTTTCTGCTGGCAATCCTGAATGCTCCCCTCAGCCCGTTGCTGACTTTGTGTCCCAACCCCCTTCTCAGGGCACTGTCTCTTAGATAAACCAGAGGCTCCATTGCATCTGCCCGTGACTTTCCCTGGCAAGGACTATGATGCTGACCGCCAGTGCCAGCTGACCTTCGGGCCCGACTCACGCCATTGTCCACAGCTGCCACCGCCCTGTGCTGCCCTCTGGTGCTCTGGCCACCTCAATGGCCATGCCATGTGCCAGACCAAACACTCGCCCTGGGCCGATGGCACACCCTGCGGGCCCGCACAAGCCTGCATGGGTGGTCGCTGCCTCCACATGGACCAGCTCCAGGACTTCAATGTGAGATCCTAGGGCAGGGGTGGGGTAAAGGGCCCCGGGGTGTGGGGACCAGCCCTAAGCCCGGGAGAGAGTTCACTTATGCCCCACTTCCATTCTGTGCCTTTGCAGACTCCACAGGCTGGTGGCTGGGGTCCCTGGGGACCATGGGGTGACTGCTCTCGGACCTGTGGGGGTGGTGTCCAGTTCTCCTCCCGAGACTGCACTAGGCCTGTCCCCCGGAATGGTGGCAAGTACTGTGAGGGCCGCCGCACCCGCTTCCGCTCCTGCAACACTGAGGACTGCCCAACTGGCTCAGGTGAGGAGTAGCAGGGATGGGAGCCCTTGGGAGGGGACAGTAGAGCAGGAAGGACTGTCCCTTGAGTGCAAGACAAAGGGGGTGTTGATTCCCCTGCTGTTGTGGGGAGTGCCTTTAACCTCTGGGAATTGTCCTTGGCCGTCTGTGGGGAAGAGCAGAGCTGTGCTGTCTAGAGCTCTCAGGGGCTGGGTGGAGGGGTGTGGGGTGATGTGAGGAAGGAGGGGCTCTGACTGTTTTACCCCTCCAGCCCTGACCTTCCGCGAAGAACAGTGTGCTGCCTACAACCACCGCACCGACCTCTTCAAGAGCTTCCCAGGGCCCATGGACTGGGTTCCTCGCTACACAGGCGTGGCCCCCCAAGACCAGTGCAAACTCACCTGCCAGGCCCGGGCACTGGGCTACTACTACGTGCTGGAGCCACGGGTGAGGGTCAGGACACCCCCAGGCCCTGTCTATGGTCACACCCCCGCCCCGTGCTCCCTCTGCTTTCTGATGACAAAGATTCCCCAAAGTAACCCTGTTCCCACAGCCATGCCAGCCCAGTCCAGGATTCCACTCAGACTTATCTGTACATAGGTATCAGGAAAACAAGCCCCAGACTCCAGATACTTGGCCAGTAGGTCCCTCTAGCCTATCCTATTTCGTGTGGTTTATTTTCCTCTGACTCCCCATCTTCTAGTGCTGCATTTGGTGAGAATGGAATGTGTGGCCTTTGGGGCAAGTCCTTGACCCCTCTTCCATGGGCTTCTCTGTCAAATTATAGTGTTGGCCTCATTCAGCTCCTGGACAGCCAGCCCTCAATGGACAGGCCTTCTGGAGATGACTGAAGTCCCTACACTCCGTCTCTGTGATAGGGTGGTGGGTTGAAGGCTGCACAAAGAAAAACAAGCCCTAGGAGCATTTTGCTCCCTTCGCCCCAACCTGAGAATTTCTACAGGCTGGTTGCCCTCTAGCGTCCATTTAGGGACAGTGCCATGAAGGTTTAGGGCTTGGTGCTAGGACCAGACAGACCTGCACTTCCCATCTTGGCTCCTCTGCTTGCCATTTGTGTGGCTTTTGGACAGGTTCCTTAACCTTTCTAAACCTCAACATTCCATCCCTAAAAACCTCAAATAGTGGTGGTGAGATTTACGTTTGTGTTTGTAAAACACTTAGCATGCTATGTGATTCATACTCAGTGCTCTGAAAATGCTGGCTCGATGTTATATGTGATAATAATTATTATTGTTATGATTATCACCCACATGGTGCCTGGCACTCACCCATCTACATCCCCTACTTCATCCAACTTTTCCGACATCCCTTCCCTGATGGGACATGGGTCTTGTTTGACTTACCAACCAACCCCTCTTGACTTAGGAGGAACCTTCGGCATTGTTCTTTCTCTTCTCCTCAGGTGGTAGATGGGACCCCCTGTTCCCCGGACAGCTCCTCGGTCTGTGTCCAGGGCCGCTGCATCCATGCTGGCTGTGACCGCATCATTGGCTCCAAGAAGAAGTTTGACAAGTGCATGGTGTGCGGAGGGGACGGTTCTGGCTGCAGCAAGCAGTCAGGCTCTTTCAAAAAATTCAGGTTCTTTCACCGTCATTCCTCCCTCTACCTTCCTGGACATTCTGGGTCCTGGGGATGCAGAGGGGAACTCAGCACTGTTTCTACTCTCAAAGAGCTCACAGTCTAGCGGGAGATAGATGAGTAGGCAGCTACAGTGAAGTGTCCCATGTGTTCATCCGAGGTCGGAACAGGGTGTTGTGAGTGCCCTTGTGGACATCAGGGAAGGCTTCCTTGGAGGTGACCTCTGAGCTGAGTCTCAGAAGGAGGGTAGGAATTAGACAGGTACCAAGGAAGTGGGACTTGGAAGGGCACCTCAATAAGGGGGCAGTGGGTGTAAAGGTCCAGAGATAAGAGGCAAAAGGGCACATGTGCATGTAGCTCTGATCCAGACTGAACAGCTCATATAGGATAGGGGTGACAACCATCTACACATGTACACACATGCAGTCACATAAACACAGCTCAGAAAGCTGAGGGGATTCAGGTGATCCTGAGCTCTCCATCTACTCCTTCCACACAGGTACGGATACAACAGTGTGGTCACTATCCCCGCAGGGGCCACCCACATTCTTGTCCGGCAGCAGGGAAACCCTGGCCACCGGAGCATCTACTTGGCCCTGAAGCTGCCAGATGGCTCCTATGCCCTCAATGGTGAATACACACTGATGCCCTCCCCCACAGATGTGGTACTACCTGGGGCAGTCAGCTTGCGCTACAGCGGAGCCACTGCAGCCTCAGAGACACTGTCAGGCCATGGGCCACTGGCCCAGCCTTTGACACTGCAAGTCCTAGTGGCTGGCAACCCCCAGGATGCACGCCTCCGATACAGCTTCTTTGTGCCACGGCCAACCCCTTCAACACCACGCCCCACTCCCCAGGACTGGCTGCACCGAAGAGCACAGATTCTGGAGATCCTTCGGCGGCGCCCCTGGGCGGGCAGGAAATAACCTCACTATCCCGGCTGCCCTTTCTGGGCACCGGGGCCTCGGACTTAGCTGGGAGAAAGAGAGAGCTTCTGTTGCTGCCTCATGCTAAGACTCAGTGGGGAGGGGCTGCGGGCGTGAGACCTGCCCCTCCTCTCACCCTAATGTGCAGGCTGGCCCTGCCCTGGTTTCCTGCCCTGGGAGGCAGTGACGGGTTAGTGGATGGAAGGGGCTGACAGACAGCCCTCCATCTAAACTGCCCCCCCTGCCCTGCGGGTCACAGGAGGGAGGGGGAAGGCAGGGTGGGCCTGGGCCCCAGTTGTATTTATTTAGTATTTATTCACTTTTATTTAGCACCAGGGAAGGGAACAAGGACTAGGGTCCAGGGGAACCTGACCCCTGACCCCTCATAGCCCTCACCCTGGGGCTAGGAAATCCAGGGTGGTGATGATAGGTATAAGTGGCGCGCGCGCGTGTGTGTGTGTGTGTGTGAAAATGTGTGTGTGCTTATGTATGAGGTACAACCTGTTCTGCTTTCCTCTTCCTGAATTTTATTTTTTGGGAAAAGAAAAGGGTAGTAGGGTGGGCCTTCAGGGAGTGAGGGATTATCTTTTTTTTTTCTTTCTTTCTTTTTTTTTTTTTTGAGACAGAATCTCCCTCTGTCGCCCAGGCTGGAGTGCAATGGCACAGTCTCAGCTCACTGCATCCTCCGCCTCCCAGGTTCAAGTGATTCTCATGCCTCAGCCTCCTGAGTAGCTGGGATTACAGGCTTCCGCCACTACGCCCTGGCTACTTTTTTTTTTTTTTAAGACAGAGTCTCGCTGTTGTCACCAGGGCTGGAGTGCAATGGCGTGATTTCAGCCCACTGCAACCTCCGCCACCCAGGTTCCAGCAATTCTCCTGCCTCAGCCTCCCAAGTAGCTGAGATTACAGTCACCCACCACCATGCTCGGCTAATTTTTGTATTTTTAGTAGAGACGGGGTTTCACCATGTTGGCCAGCCTGGTCTCGAACTCCTGACCTCAGTTGATCCACCTGCCTTCGTCTCCCAAAGTGCTGGGATTACAGGTGTGAGCCACTGCGCCCGGCCATGCCCAGCTAATTTTTGTATTTTTAGTAGAGACAGGGTTTCGCCATGTGGCCAGGCTGCTCTTGAACTCCTGACCTCAGCTAATCCACCTGCCTCGGCCTCCCAAAGTGCTGGGATTACAGGTGTGAGTCACCACGCCCGGTACATATTTTTAAAATCTAAATTGAATTCTGCTATTTATATGATCCTTTTGGAGTCAGACAGATGTGGTTGCATCCTAACTCCATGTCTCTGAGCATTAGATTTCTCATTTGCCAATAATAAGACCTCCCTTAGAAGTTTGTTGTGAGGATTAAATAATGTAAATAAAGAACTAGCATAATGCTCAGCATCTAGTAAGTGCTTAACAAATGGCAGCGCTGTTACTTACTATTATCAAATATCTGTCCACATCCACTCTCTATATGCACTTGAAGGTGGCAAAGATCCACATCCATGGTGCCTGCCTTTATCCTCAGGGTCTGTTCCTTTGGTTGGCAGACCCCTATCCTGGGTTCTGAGGGACCAACAGAGAAAGGAAAATTTCATCCCTCACCTCTGGAGGTTCCCAATCACAGGAAGGAGACATAGTAAACACATGGCTACAAATACAATTGACAAGAACATGAAGGTGCAGGATGACAAGAACAGATAACAAGAACAACTGCATCAACACAAATGAGTACTTAGTAATAAGGGTGATAGTTGAGGGGTCTGGGTTTCACAACAGTAGAAAAAGCACTGGAGTGGGAGCCAGCGGGTCTGGATTCGATTTGGGGCTCGGCATCTTATTAGCTGAGTGGTGTTGGGTAAGTCACTGATGCTAAGCCTTAGATTGCTCATATGGGACTAATAGTATCTACTCCCACAGAGTTGTTCTGGGAACAAATGCTAGAATATTTTCAAAATAGTAAAGGTTATAGCCATGGCCATGTGAGAGGTTACCCCTGTGACTACCTGAAGATGGAATGGGGTCTCCAGAATCTGCCAGTATAAACTCAGCAGAATGCCTAGAAGATGTGAGATTATAATAAAATTTCATAAAACAAAAACAGCCGGGCACGGTGGCTCACACATGTAATCCCAACACTTGGGGAGGCCGAGGTGGGCAGATCACAAGGTCAGGAGATTGAGACCATCCTGGCTAACATGGTAAAACCCCGTGTCTCCTAAAAATACAAAAAAAATTAGCCGGGCGTGGTGACAAGTGCCTGTAGTCCCAGGTACTCGGGAGACTGAGGCAGGAGAATGGTGTGAACCTGGGAGGCGGAGCTTGCAGTGAGCCGAGATCGCACCACTGCACTCTAGCCTGGGCAACAGAGCGAGACTCCGTCTCAAAACAAAAACAAAAACAAAAAACAGGACGTGGTTTGGCAGGAAATAGGCAAGAAGGATAACCTGGAAAAGGATCTGAGGTGAGGGAGCCAGGTGCCCCAAAATGGCAGAATACCTGATGCCCGAGGAGCGGGAGGGACTAAATTTTCCCTCTGGGCAAGGTGCATTTGCTTGAGAATTTGGGGCTGGATGAGATGGCTGACGCCTGTAATCCCAGTACTTTGGCAGGAGGATTTCTTGAGGCCAGGAGGTTGGGACCAACCTGGGCAACATAGAAAGACTCCATCTCTACCAAAAAAAAAAAAAAAAAGATTGAAAAATTAGCTGGGCGTGGTGGCACCTGCAGTCCCAGCTACTTGGAAGGCTAAAATAGGAGGATTGCTTGAGCCCAGGAGTTCGAGGCTATGGTAAGCTATGATCGTGCCACTATACTCCAGCCTGGGTGAGAGACCAAAACACCAACTCAATAAAACAAACAAAAGGGGGCCAGGCATGGTGGCTCACACCTGTAATCTCAGCACTTTGGGAGGCTGAGGTGGGTGGATCACCTGAGGTCAGGGGTTAAAGACCAGCCAGGCCAACATGGTGAAACCCCATCTCTACTAAATAAACTACAAAAAATTAGCCAGGTGTGATGGCAAGTGCCTGTAGCCCCAGCTACTCGTGAGGCTGAGGCAGGAGGATTGCTTGAACCTGGGAGGTGGAGGTTGCCGTGAGCTGAAATTGCACCACTGCACTCCAGCCTGGGTGGTAGAGTGAGACTCCATCTAAAAAAAAAAAAAAAAAAAAAAAAAAAAAAAAAAAAAAAACTTGGGCAGTCCTGCGTGTGTCATGGATGGAACAGGGATGGGCAAGGGTGGTAGGTAGACCCTGCAAGAATTTGGAGTTTTGAGAGGCAGAAGCAAGACTGCTAGGGATTGGGGAAGCTACTTGATGTGGGGTTGAGGGAGAAATTATAGGTAAAGAAGACCCTGAGGTGGAGGTGGAGGTGGAAGAAGGAAGAATGGGGGAACCAAAGGCACTTCACTCTGCCATAGCAGCCCCTAGCTGGGATGCCAAACACTGCTTGGAATGTGAAGCTGGCACTATGGGGTTGAGGCAGGCCATGGAGGTTGTAGTGGTTATATGTGCTATGCTCACTGGAGCTGGGCTTTGCTAATCAAGTTCTGTACCAGGCAGTGTCTTACACCGCACCCTGTACTCTACACCAGCCAGCACAGCGCCTGCTTCCTCTGCAGCAATGAGGAAAGACTGCCCACACTCTCTTCTCTCCAGTAAACACGGTTCCCAGTGCTAGGCTTGGCCCCTTGGCCCTCCTGTGGTCCTCCTACCAACCAGGCTGAAAAAGATGGAGACAAGACAAGAGTGATCTTTACTCGTTCCATCTAGTGAGCAAAATGAGACCACAGACAGTATGTTTATGGACCTTGATACTATGAGTTGATGGTACAATGAGCAGAGTTCTGTGATAAGTAGATGTAAGGTACAAATGCAAACAATAGATATGATTGTTTTTTTTTTTTTTTTTTTTTTTTGAGACGGAGTCTTGCTCTGTCACCCTGGCTGGAGTGCAGTGGCACGATCTCAGCTCACTGCAAGCTCCGCCCCCCGGGTTCACACCATTCTCCTGCCTCAGCCTCCCGTGTAGCTGGGACTACAGGCGCCCACCACCATACCTGGCTAATTTTTTTTTGTATTTTTAGTAGAGACAGGGTTTCACCGTGTTAGCCAGGATGGTCTTGATCTCCTGACCTCGTGATCCGCCCATCTTGGCCTCCCAAAGTGCTGAGATTACAGGCGTGAGCCACCGCGCCTGGCCTATATATGACTGTTCTAAAGGGGTTCACACTGCATTCTGGGCCGGGGAGGTTGTATACTGCTCCCACTCCACCTTCCCCTCAAAGAGAAGCAATGGGACAGTAAAAGGGACTAGAAGATAAGAGCCTAACGAGCCCTGAACTGAACAGACTATGAGGGTTATGGAGGGCTACCTTGGGCTGGGCCCTGGAGAACAGGTCATCATGATAGCCCTTCTCACCTTCCTTTAATGTTCACGGAGATACACTTGTTTTTTGAAACAAGGTCTCCCTTTGTTGACCAGGTGGGAGTACAGTGGTGTGATCTTGGCTCACTGCAGCCTTGAACTCTCAGGCTCAAGCAACCCTCCCACCTCAACCTCCTGAGAACCTAGGACTACAGACATGAGCTATCACACCCAGCTAATTTACTTTTTTTTTTTTTCGGTTGAGACAAGGTCTTATCATGTTGCCCAGGCTGGTCTTGAACTCCTGGCCTCAAGGGATCTTCCCACCTCGATCTCCCAAAGTGTTAGGATGACCAGCATGAGTCACCACACCTGGACTTTTCTTTTGAGACAGTCTCGCTCTGTGGCCCAGGTTGGAGTGCAGTGTCACCATCATAATTCACTACAGCCTTGAAGTCCTGGGCTCAAGTAACCCTCCCACCTCAGCCTCCTGAGGAGCTGGGACTACAGGTGTAGATTCACTTTTAAATCACTTTTCTGCCTGTTATTTTAAGAGAAAGCCCTTCGCTCACCAAGTAAGGTTCTCACTGGCATAAATAAGTTTTTCTGAGAATGAGACTGAGCTTAGGGGCCACCTCTGTGATTGGGTAAGTGAACGGGAGCTAAAGTGAAAGAGGGGCAGAGAGAGCTAGCTCATCAAAGAGAAGTGATGGACATCTCAGCCTTCAATCCCAGGCAAGGCCTGACCCCTTTCTGGAATGGTCTCTGCCTTACCACCCCTCCAAGACCCAGGTTGTAGGTAAGCTTTACCTAATAGGAGTCCAACAAGTTCTTGCTAGGGATGGGGTTGTGGTGGGGCACATATCTCCCTGTAGGAGCCACAATGAGCTCTGTTTCCCATCTGCCTATTTATTGCCTTCATGGGCCTGAGCTGGGGTGTAGATATATAAGGAGGAACAGAAACAGTAATAATAGGAAGTAAGGAGGCACTGAAACAATTCAAATATCTGGTCCTGGAGGTGAAAAGAGGAAATGGAAAAAGAAAAGGCCTTGAATGACAAGGGAGTGAGTGCCCTGTCCCTAGAGAAGTTCAAGAAGAGTTTGGACAACCATTTTATGAGATGGCAAGTGTTGTGCATGAGTATGTGTTTGAGGTGGGGGAGGAAGTTGAAGCAATAGGTTGGGCCAATTTCCTAAAGCCCCTTCTGCCCCTGAGATTCTCTGCTTCTGTGGTTTGAACAGAGGAAATCTGGGCATTTGTCCAGCCACTATTTTTGTAATGGAGGTAGGATAGCCAGGGTTCCTGGAGGGTGCTGTGGAATAGGCGTTTACACTTCTATTCCATCTCTAGTCCCATTTCTGTAATCTTCATACAGTATTACAGTATTTTGTTTTCTAAAATACCAGATTGGTAGTAGGTGACAAAACTAGCATCTCATTGGTCAGGGCTTGTGGGGGAGGAAGGGAGAAGAAAGTGAATTTCAATGTATTAACATTTTATTGGCTGAGAGGATGTTTCTGAACCAATTGAATACCTTCCCTATTGACTGTTGCTGGGGCAAAGCCAAAATCGTTGGCACCAGGAGAAACCAGATGACAGCTGGAGGAAACCACCAGTGCTAAAAATGCTCAGAAAGAGGGGGGTCAGGGAAGGCGGGGGAGCAACAACACTGAACAACTTCCCCAGGCAGGATCTTACATGGGGACAGACCCAGAGTACTTAAGTAGCATTAGGAAGGAAAGGGAGGGGAGGAAGTAGATTTAAGTATCCCTCACAGTCTTGGGACAACAAACAGGCCCCATACACCCACACCAACAGTGACACGTTGACATACACACATCCAAGTTCATAGAGACACACTAGCACTTTCTTTTTTTTTTTTTTTTTTAAGACAAAGTCTCATTCTGTCACCCAGGCTAGTGTGCAATGATGTGATCTCGGCTCACTGCAACCTCCACCTCTCAGGTTCAAGTGATTCTCCTGCCTCAGCCTGCTGAGTAGCTGGGATTACAGGCAGGCACCACCACGCCCAGCTCATTTTTTGTAATTTTA